CAACACTTGGGATTCTTCTCTGCCCCGCCCCTTCCTCGCCCCCTCCCCCATCCAAACCATCAACAGGGCCTTTTGGTTCTGTCTGCAAAATAAAGCCTGAATTCAGCTGCTGCTCTCCATCTCCTGGCTACAATCCCAGCTGGTCACCCTCTTTCCTACCAAAGGATCTGTTTGAAATGTGAGATCATAATAATCCCCAGGTGAAAATCCTAGTTCCCAAATATGCTTAAAATAGAAAGCCAGCTTCTACAGTGAATTTATTTGTAATTGTCCTGAACTGGAAAACAACCCAAATGTCCCCTAATGGGTGAGTGGGTAATGAACTGTGGGGCCCCAGTGCAGTGGAATACTACTCAGCAGTCAACAAGGATACATCTTAAAATCATTGTTAAGTGAAAAAGGCCAGACACAAATGGCTANTCATTCATTCATTCATTCATTCATTCATTCATTCATTCATTCATTCTCCACGCCGCTGCCTGGGGGCAAGTCCCTGCCTCGCACCCCTGCGGGGGCGGGAGGTAAAAGTACCCCCGAGTGGAGTAGTGGTAGGAGTGAAATTAGCATTAAAATAGTATTACACACTGTGGCTAAGAAGGGGCAGACTTTGTGCCCAGCCTGTAAGGTTTGGGGGAGACTTTGAGGTCATGAAGGTNCCCAGTGCAGTGGAATACTACTCAGCAGTCAACAAGGATACATCTTAAAAGCATTGTTAAGTGAAAAAGGCCAGACACAAACGGCTGTATATGGTATGATTTATAAAAATAAAAATCTGGAAAAGACAAAACCATAGAGAAAGAAAACACATCAGTGATTGGGAACTCGGGAAATCTTGTGGGGTGATGGAACTGTTCTAGATCTAGATTGCGGTGGTGGTCACACAACTGTGTACGTTTGTCAAAACTTGCAGAATTGTACACTAAGAAGATTCAGAACAAAGCTCCCAACCCTGCAGAGCTTTCATTCCACTGTGGGAGACAGAGAGTAACCGAAATTAGGAGCAGCAACAGGCCCTGACATTTGGAACATGAAAGCACTTCGCACATGCCCTCTCATTTAATCCTGGTCATGTGCTCTCATGGCATAGGTTTAACAGTCCTCCCTATACCGATGAGGCCACGCGAGCCCAGAGACTNATACCGATGAGGCCATGCGAGCCCAGAGACTTTAAGGACAGTCACCTGTTAAGAGCCACACAGCCAGAGTGGAGGGGACATAAATGGAAGCCACTGGGTCGGGCTACAGGACTCGTGCTCCTACCTGCGACAATATGCTGGTAGCCCAACTCCCTGCCGGGACGACAAATGAATTCTCTCGGAGAGGCGCCCGGAACAGCAGCCCCCAAACCACAGGTGAGCCTCTGCACCTCCAGAGCAACTACGAAGCTCCAGGCGCGGTAGCGCGTGCAACGCGCCCAGACGGCCAGCAGGTGGCGCCCGGACACCGCCGCCGCCTCGTTGTGATGCAGCTCCGCCTGCATTTTGCAGCAGCTGGTTGTGCAGCTCCACCCGGAAGCCTCGCGGCGTTGGGGGTGAGTGTTTTCTCCTTCCCTCCCCCCTTTCTGCTGGGTTTGCAGGATTCGGAGCTGCGCTGGTGCTGCTTGAGATTTTAAACGGATCCCTCGCCAC